TCAAAGTGCAGGCTAAAAATTGATCTAAACTGTTTTTTAGGAAGCCACAAATATTTCTATTAGGCTGTTACAAGGCATAAATAGCCATGATGGCTACTGTGTGGCCAGAGATTATTCAACTTCTGGCTGTATTAATAAACCTAAAATTAAGATAGGCATTTTTTCCAAACTGCTAAATCGTTTGATTATTTTCCATGCCATTGCCTCTTTTTTCCTTTGCTGACAGGCTCTTTCGGAGAGCCTGTTTCTTTCCTTCATGAAGTAATTTATAATGGATTATCTTAGCATAATACTCCAGGTTTTAACACCATCCAGTCCAATGCTCATCTGGACCTCCCCAGACTTTGCAGTTCACGTTGCCTAACAACTTCCACAGTCAGACTACATTCTGTCTCATTGAATACTTTAAAAAAAAAAAAAAAATCTTTGATAGCAAGGTATTTCCCTAATGTTTTTTCTTTTCCTCAAGAAACTCTCCTATTTCATCTTTCTGTTACTGGCGCTATCATTTATTCACCCAGAAAACCTACAGAAGTTGCTGATAAAGTTTTAGAAGACATTTGGTAGCCCTTCAAATGACATCCAGCCTACAAACAGTAGTTACAGTTGTTTTAAAAGGAGCTACAAAACTTGTTATTATTCGGTCTTTTCTCATCCATGCAGTTCAGAGGAAATTTTCATCTGCTTTTATACCTGTAGGGCTGCAAAAGCTGTGTATTCCTTTATTAACACTGTCATCAAGTTACAGGCAACTGCTGCCTACTAGTACAGAGCAGATCTGTTCCTTAAGGGAACATAAACTACTCAAATTTATTTGCCCTGGCAGCTGCGGTGAACACTCTCAAAGCCTGGATATCTACATCCCCAGAAGAATATTAAAAAATATCAAAAAGCACATAGAAGTTGTTGGGTTTTTTTTTTTTCTTCATTAGAAAGCAGGATGATAGATTCTGTGTTGCAGTATCAAGGGACTGTGGTAACTGAAGGTGGTTCTAGCCCAAATGTACCGCACTGGAAGAAGTAACCTTGCAAGTTTATTAATTATAAGTAAGAACTTTCCTGGACCAATAGACATTTTGCCATCAAGAGGCAAAAATTAAATACCCTCTGACCTCGGTTCATTGAGAAATGCCAGCATTTTAAACACATTGATTTTTCAACCACTTTGCAAGTGACAACCATTTCTCAACATACATTCTCTTCATTGTTACCTGTATTACTTACATAGTCACATTCAAACTCATATCTAAGCTAAAACCAATGTACATATGAACAGAAGAAAGCATCCATATGTCCTAATACTATAAATATTCCCTTTTTATACTCTTATTTTAGCTGTCTACACAGAAAAGGTGGACAGGGGTGGAAATTTTTTTTTTTTTTTAAATCCATATCTGGTCCAGTTGCCAGTGTCCTTAATCTCAAAGAAAAGACTTTTTCAACCCATAAATCTAAGTCATGGTCACACACCAGTTGTGTTTATTAAAGTCAGAAAAAACTATAACCTGGACTGATTTCAATAACTTGACCCTGGAACTATACCAGGATTCTTACATTATCACCATTCATCTGTAGCTTATGAATACCGTTCTTAGTACTGTTTTCTGGATACAGCAATGTACTCAATAAAAGAAAATTCCACTTACAGAAGGCTTTGGGGGAAGAAATGTTGACTAAACATCATCATCTCTATTCTTCCTAGCTTGCAGATAAAAGAATACTATTTTTTTACATGAAAGTGTTACTAATATTTAAAATACACAATGAAGAAAAGCCCATAGCACATTCAGACAAGTCTAGCCTGCCACAATAGTCAGTTTTAAATTATAAGAAAAATAATTTTTGCTCTTGAGTTTGTGTCCAGTCACAATCAGCAATGAGGACAAATATTTACAATATAATCACCTTCCTGTCATTCTACTATGTCTTATTTTATCACTTGTATCTACTCACGTATTATATAACACACAGTAAAATTTACACAAGGTCAATGAGGACAAAATGCAGATTTCAGGATGATTAGTGACTCAACTATTTACTACCAAGGTTTACAAGCACTGTCAATAGGTGCTAAGGTACAGCTTAAGCCTACATGAAACTCCACTGATTTCAGAAAGGCTTTCCATAGGTAAAGGGACATGGTTACACAGATTATAGAATCACGTCTCAGTGTACTGTGACAGCTCAATCCAAAAATAATAAATGCATGAAGCAGCTCCACTGGAACCAAGACTCTTCTAGGAAAGTCTGCTAATGACACTGCACTGTTGCCTGATGAATGAGGCTATAAAATGCTTAATTTACTTCAGAGTTTTAAGCAGCAACTCAGAGGCAAAAAAGATTTGCAAACAACGTCAAGAAGTCTTTAAAAAACATTACTAAAAGTATTAAACATGATGTTGTTAGGGTGCTCCATAAATACTACAGATGTCCAGACAGAGTGAAATTACTAACAAAAGCTAACATGAGTTTGTCTAAAGTCAGCATTAAAATATTACAGCTGATAAAGAGAGAAACTGTAACCCTAACATGCTTGCTTTCTGTGATCATTCATAGCATAACAGCTGAATAAACTATCATAAAGAAAACAATGGAAGTATCACATGCATTTGTATAGATACATGTTTCAGCTTCAGTAAAATGACAAACTGTTGGGTAACAAAATGCCTTCTCTACAAAAATTTTCAGATTATTTCAGTTGTTCTAGCACAATAAAAAGGTTGCTGTTGAAATATTACAGTCAAAACCAGCACTGTAGCTAGTATTGTAATCACAATGTTTACTCACCTAGCTTACTTTCTGCACAATTCCTTGCTAACAGAGAAGACATTCACATTATGATTTTACTGGAATCATATGGCTTCCAGAGTTTGCTACCATCAGGAAACTGCTGACAGAAGACGGAGGGAGAAGACGAAACAAGTATTTCATTTCCATTTGCCTGCCTCTGATCAGATGAATTTCCACCAATTGCTTCAAATGGATGAATAGTAGGCACTTCAACACAAGGATTAGCTTCAAGCTCTATTCTACTCATTGATATTATCCAGCCTGGAGATACCTGAACAGTAACGTTATCCAAACAGGCACCAGAACAATACATTAATCAAACCTTAAGAAACTGTTTCCTAAAGGTCTTTCTGTTGTTGCTATTTAATATAGTTGCTTCAGATATTTTAAACTTGGAGCACCAGGAGTCAAACATAAAAAACTGAAGCTCTAATAACACAAAATGTTCTTTGCCACAGAGTGAGCCTCAGGCAGCAAAAAACTATGTAAACACTGCAAACTGAAAACTCCTACCAAGCTCCTTAAATGTTTCTTGTGACTACTCAAATTGTGAACCTAGGAAACTCCAAGAATAACAAACAAAATTCAATTCACCCTAAGAACTGATGAGAGATGTTTCCTAGTCAGATAAGAACAATGATCCTTTGCCTATAAATGTATAGCAACAACATGAGTATGCTTCTTCCAATTATCTGCAAATCTATTGAAATAACAGCATCAAGTCTCTCTTTTGTCCAGCTACAAAAAGAAAATATACAGGGATGTTTTTCATTTTATATATAGCCCAGAAACTATAGCAATACTGTACTAACTCACTTTTCATCGACATGGAAGATCTTCCAACAAAGATCTTGTGTTATATTCCTGTGGTAAAAACATGGCTCACCCTATTAGTAGTCTGCAGGTGCTATACCTCTTCAGTTACTTGTTTCGAATCTGCCTTCAGTCTAACCAAGACAAGAGACACAGGGGGAAAAAAGGTACCACAAAGCAAGCAGTAGAAGCAGTAGTAAACCACACATGCAAAGGGCTGTTGTAAATGCCTATAAGCATATTTTACTATGTGGCAAGAGAGACACAAAGGTCTGTCTCACCAAGAGAGAATATGCCTTGAACATCCTGGTACAGACAAATGCAGTTAGATCAGAGCAGCCGATGCAGCAACTCTGCCGATATACTGTAATTAGCTATCACTTGTACATTCACTCTCCCAGACTTCTTTTCAGTGGCATTACCTTACCAAAGGTAGCATCTGCTTCTCTGTTTTGCCAAATTTAAGCAGGTAACATCCTCTCAACAGAAGTATTTATTTTTAAAGGAAACTCAAGCACAGGCAAGACTTAGGAGTGCAGCTATCAAGCTGTTTACCAAGTTGCCCCAACTCTTCTGCTCGGCTCCCTTTTTGGGATGCCAAAGATCATTACCAGGGCAGCCTCAGACCTTCCTATGGGTCAGGACCGTATCTGTTTAACTTGGTGACAGAGCAAAATGGAGGGCAACACACGAGGCAGTATGAACAGCAAGATTTATTCAGTGTACCAACCGCATTCACAGCTGGGAACACTAAAGGAGCTGAGACGTACAGGTGAAGAGGCCAGCAAGGCATTCTACCACCACAGGATGACTTAAATGCTTTGAGAAGTTGTAAGGGTAGCGAACAGTCCATTCACTGAAGACAAAATTAATTACTTCAAATGATGTTTTAAAACATATTTATTTAAGCTGAGGGTACCTGGTAGGTTATCTCTGTGTGTCAAATTGTAAGAGTAAGACATTTTTAAATCATAAATATTTATGTTTGTTACTGCTTTCTTTCAGTTAATAACCAATAAAGTGCATATGGTAGAAATGCAGAGCAGATTAATACCAACTCAAGCAACTAGGCTTAGAGAGAAAACATCTGCCCAGTTTCATCTTTCTAGAAGGCATCCATTTAAAGTGTGAAACATCTACCATAAACAAGGTAGTCTATATGCCATTGGCAGAGAATTTTATTTTCTTCAATGTGTTCAAGTTACCATAAAAGAAAAGTCTTCTTCTGAGCTTGTAAAAGACCACTGGACTTAAGACTGCCATTGATATAGGCTAGACTTCGAATTTCGTTTTCTAAGGCATTCCAAATATCTAACACTGAAAAATCATGTTATGGTCAAGACATAAAAATACAGATTAAAGACCCCATAAATACTTTAAACAACTGCCATACCTACCTGCTACATTAAGCTTTTCAACTGCTCCTAAGCTGGGAGCAGGAGTGGTAGTATTGTTGGTAGAGTTTGCTCCTGTTCCATTAAGTACAAGATTTTCCACCTTGGACTCTAGCTTCCCAATGCGCTGCAAGATATTATCCAACAAGACAGCAAGTGTCTTCTTCAAATCTACAAACAAAAATGAAAAGTTAAATTGCTTAATAATGCAATGCACACTGTCAGACAGAATCAAAAAATAGATACAAAAATGAGACAAATATATACAGATACTTCCTCAGCGCAAATCTTTGTCATTAGTTCTATGCATGAAAGTTCCCTACTTTGTTCAGCCTCAGATACAAGTCTCCCTTGACATGGAACTTGTCTCCCTGTGTATTTTATAAAGCACATAGCAACTCATATACACATCCTAAATCCAAGGTGAAGAGTGAAACTTTATGGGTACACACAGGAACAAAAAAATGGATTTTTTTAATAGCTCAAGTAACAAGAAGTTGTTTAAATAATAATGAATCTAAACGTAAATCCCTATTCACACACTATCAGAGGGAAGTGTCTGTTAGATGCTCAGTCACCTAGAAACAAAAATCCCCTTCCCAAAAGAAGTGACAGCTTTGAGCCAGTACGAAAACCTTCTCCTGCATCTCCTCCACCACAACCAGGTTCTGCATTGGCAAAAAAATGCCAAGTTCAACCTTTCTGTGTATACCCAAAACACCATAAATCACCTGTTTCTTTTCTTCAGTCTGTTGGTGACTGCCTCCACCTGCCTATTTGGTCTGACACAGCACCTCCTTCATGTGGAAAGCAACAAACAGTAACAGGAGTTTGCATATCAAATGTCAAACCCAGAAAGAATTCTCTGGTATTTTTTCTTTCCCTTTTGTTCAGATTTCTTGAAGTAACACAGAGTTGGGCAAGCTAAAAGAACTCTGGGCAAGAAGGGAAAAACAGACCACTGTCAGACTAAACTGTATAATTATAGTGGCAACAAGCCAAAGAAGATGAAAGAAAGTATTGTTCTTTGTTCATCTACCCTTGTCTCAGGATTAAAGAATTTGGTGTGATGAATTTACATTATTTTCTCGTTTAATTGCATAAAATAACTACATGTGCATATGTAAAATACATTTTCTGCTTTCCACAACTTTAGAATCAAATAACTTTCTGATCTGTAATAGAAAATTTCTCCATACATCTGAAGAGATTTCTCTGCCCCAACAACAGTTTTATTTTTGCCATGCTTATTTTGTGCTCCCTTTATTTTTTCTTCCATGACTAGCCCAATTCTTGTGCAAATGAGAGAGTACATAACAAAAGGCTAATACTTTTAGAAAGTTTAGGATTCTTTTTTCCAAATAAAAGAAGAGTTATATTTATTCAATGGAGCCATAAAGCAGATCTTTTTTCTTTATAACCGTGTGTTTTCCTTTGTCCTTTAAAGATCAGAAGATGGAATCCTAAGCACTAACATTCTGGACTATCTTAAAAGGGGTCCAGAAGTCACTTAATGGTACAGTGTGCAGAAGAAAATTTTGGAGCAGAAATTTAACCTGAACAAAACAATGGTACAGAATGTGGGAAAAAATCTAGGGAAAAACGTAGCAAAAAAAAAAAATTCAGGAAACAATGAGGAAGAATCATAGCATAAAGACATACACAGAGCATAAAGAAAAAAATGGCTAAACATTGTAAAACTGATACCAAAACACTGATATGACAGACTGCTCACCAGAACAAAAATGCAACCCGAGGCTAGTTTGAGAAGGGGAGAGTAGAAGCACAGATTCATAATATTTTTTGCAAAACAACTGTTTACTGCTATAAAAATCTGATACTGTGTACATTAGGACTAAGACTTTTAAAAGGAAAGTATTTGATCCACCTATCTGACAGGTCAATATATGGTAGAAAGAAAAAGTCAGAAAGCAAACAAGCTGTGCAATCACAAATAAGGAATGACTGAAAACCTTTTGGGTGGGTCAATGTAGCCAAATAAAGCAAACTTAAAACTTACTTCTTGAACATGGAAATCATGACTGTGCTCACTAATAGCAATCAGAGGATAAATTTAAAGAACTAAAAAGGCTAAATAGCAAGGGTGTTAATTTTCATAGAAAAGTGAGCCAACTCCTGAACAGCTAACCTGATCATTTACTATCAATAAATCATTTGGTATGCCAAACAGGACAAACTAACTATCTTATTAAGTAATTATCACCTTACTCAGTTTTATAAAGTATTATTTAATATGGTATTATTCACTCACCATAGCACCCTTCCCTCTAATATTTTAAATAAATAGATAAATAAATATATTATCATTGTTTTGCGTTCTTCCATACTCTTTAATTGAAAAGACCTGTCCAAACCCGTCTTCACAGTCTCGTTAGCCTGAGAACTTGAAATTTCTACACAAAACTTAGCTTTGCCTTTACAGAAGCATTAAAAAGTTATTTCACCCACTTTCAAATGCAGTTTAGCATCTCCTGAGGAACTTGACCACTGTTTGGCGGCAACTCAACTAATTCCTCAGTGGGATTTGGAACAGGAAATGAATGCCACAGGCAACAAGCTACAGGGGATCTTAGCTTAAGGATATCTTGTACCCTCAGATCTAGCTAGGGCACAGATTAATGCAGTTACCTTTCAATTTCTGGAGTCATATTGGTTTGGTTTTTTTTTTAATTCTTCAATTCACCTACTACTGAGCACCCTTACAAGATAATGGGACACTGACGATGGTTATATAGCAGATAAGGTTTTGTTTTAAGCCTATGCACACAATTCTCTAGGGACCTCTACTTGCTTGGAGGTCTTCAATCTAAATATTGATCTAGTACCACTCTATTTAGCTTGTGTTGCTTTGTAAGATTACCATAACAGTATAGATCAACATGCAGTCACAAATCAGCAGAAGTTACAGAACAAATACAGCTTGTTATTTAAGCAACAAAGCAATGAAACTGTTAGCTATGTTTGGGATGATAATCTCAGGTTTACAGGCAAGCACTTTCTTGTGAACTCAAAAATTCTTTTTTTAGAGGAAAAAAGTGATAAGAGAAACAAGACATGGAGAGAACCTCCCAGCAGGATATTTTCATTACGTGCACCTTAAAAAGTAAAGAGTATTAAGAGAAAACTAGAGGAAAAGGTGCAGGTATTATCTATTGCATCTATCCAATTTCTTTAGAGCTGAATATTAAGGCAACTATAAAAGGAAACAAATCTAGATGACTAATTGGCCATTAACTTTCCAGATAGCCTGAAAGTGCATATGTAAGTAGTAAAGAAAGTGAGTTTAAAAAACGCTAAACAAGTAAGGTATATGAGGTTATCTTATCAGATTGAAAAGGGGACATATCTAACCTGAAATTGGATCTTATTTATATTTTCATAATATTTTCTGGCAATATGCTTCATCCTTTTCTGCATGCTTTCTCTCACACCTAACACAAACTTAAGTCTCATGTTGTACAAAATGGAAGAGAGTAAGCATTATAACTCACTGCCGAACAAAGCATTGAAACTCACAAAAAGAGTTCTTCACCCTGAGGCAAATATGATATATCTAAGCTTAATTTAAGCTTATGGCAGATACATAAACTTAAACGTTAAGTAAATTGACTGAACAAAGAAGTGAAATGGGAAAGAAAAAATAAACAATGAAACAATAAACAAGCAGGTCTCCACTTTATTGGTAAAGCAAGTTCTTCTTCCACAAGAAATTTATTAGATCACTGACATGCAAACTGAAAAGCCTCCCAAGTTTCTCAAAAACAGAAAAAAAAAATTAAATTAAGTTCTAACAGGTAACCGGAGGCATACCAGATATAGCTACTAGACAGATGTAGTAAAAATTAGCAGACAATTTCACTTCCAAGTGACTGGAAATGTAAAATTTGTCCCATTTCATACTTACAAACAAAGACTGCCTTCTCCCATTTCATACTTACCAGTGAAGACTGCTTTTTCCAACTTGTGCAGAAAATCCACAGGGCACAGTAGTGTCAATTGAGCAGCATCATGAAGTAAAATGTTTGGACAACTTAGAAAAAAATCTTAATCAGATTATGTAATCTAGAGCACACACTTACCATATGCTGTCACTGTCCCAACATAAGGCCCATCAACTACATTTTTATTTTCTTCGGCTAATGCTTTGATATATCTTTTGCTGAGATCCAAAATTTGCTCACGCAGGACTGAACTGCTTTCGTGTTGTGTTTGTTGCTGAATAGTAAAATGCAGAAGCATCATCCCCCAAATGAAACCAAAAGTCACCAGAAAAAAGCCGAGTTTCTGAGAGGACAGCTTCCATGGAGAGAATGCCATGATTCCCAACAGCTTCACACAGTTACTACAGAGGTTCCTAAAGCATGAAGCCAAACAGCAAGTTCATGGTCCAGGTATATATCACAGAGCAGGACTCAGTCTTATTCCAACTCCTTAGTCAACATGTATCTGTATTTCAGTTCCATCCTGTTGCAAGAGGAAAGAAAAGAAGCATAGTTACCACAACACACTAGTTTTCACTAGCTATCCTAGGTCTTCACTCCAAGTAGTACAAAATAGGAGTAGACAATATGCTTTCTTTGTTTAATTTGTTTAATTTGTACGTATCAACATTGTACTGTACTAGCCACAGCACAAAGAAGCTGAGAAAAGCACTGGAAAGAGAACAAAGAGGGAGTGATGCGCCTGAGCAAGTGTAGAACACCTCTCAGTATCTGGATCAAATTCAATGCTGGAAGCGGTTTCTAAGCTGAATTTCAAGGTAAGGCTGCTTTTATATATTTTTGTGTGTGTGTGTATACAAAACTTTGTGATATTGCCAGTGCAGCAATTTAAGACAATTCTCAACATAATTCAGTTTTCAGAAAACAAGTAATTTTAGCTGGCAGTGACACTGCTTGGAGTTCCTGGCAAGAGCTACGGCATATGGCTAGATAGGTGATCAGGAAATCAGACTCCCTCAGGGGTAAAGAGGAAAGGAGAAATCTACATTATTTAAGCCAATACACTCTCCTGGCTTACGCTGCAAGCTGTCAGAAGGCTGGAATAATCTCCTTTTGCTCCTGTGTGGCCTCTGCCATGCATAGTTACTCCTTATTCATAAAACATAGCTCAATGAGTTTGCTCTTTGCAACTGAATTCAAAACACATATTTCTGAATGCTACAACATGTCTTTTGTATATAAAATTAACATTCATGGATCTTTTCACACACTAGGGGAAAAGAATTGTAGTAACGGCCTTCAAGACACAGTAGGACCATCTTTTCACGGTAAACTCTAACATAAAACCTGGCATAAATAATCCAAACGGAAGAAAAGCTCTGTGATGAGGGATAGAGGCAGGGTCCTTAGCGTAAAACCCAACAAGAAGAAAGGTAATTAAGAGGTAATTAAGTGTAACCTATCATGTTAGAACACAGATTTGGTAAAATGTTATCCTTTTAACTTCATAATGCTCCCACACAGGATTAGAGAACATAATGTTCCCTTCCATTCTGCACTTGCACAGAAAATGCAGATGCTACTCTGTTTTAATAGCATAATTACACAGATGCCTGCCAGCAGTGCTCCCTGTTTTGTTAAAATTCCCTTTAGATCTTCTGCTTTCAGCTGAGCCAGCACTTCTGCAGAGGGACAGAAATACCTTTGGACCACTTATCTTCCAACACGTCTTGTGTGTGCATTTAGCATTATTAATTACTATTGATTGTAGAACTGAATGTGCATTTACATAGTAAACTAAAAGTAGACCAGGCAGCAACTGTACCATGCATTTCGTTGCTAAAAGAACAATTTGTAGCTATCTTTTGCTTAAGGAGGAATGGTGCAGAAAAATGAATTGCAACTACAGTGAAAAAGATTATAAAACCCTCAAGCTGACTTTTTCCACACTTACATATCTCAATAAAGAAAATGAATGGTCTCAACAGAGAAAATGAAGGACTCTGTTTAATGCTGCTCTCCACACACTTAAGTTAATTTTCCAAGAAATGGCAGAGGCAAGTTTCACTTCTTTCAGCTTATTTAACTGTAGCCTTGGGACACTCTTGGGCTGACAAAAAAGTAGAGTATTGTTATTTCATTAAAACCTGAAAGTTTTAGTACTCTCTTGCAGTTTCTGATGTGATAAAATATAGAAAATTCCATAATTCCAAACAGAATCACAACTTTAAAAAGAAATCTGAAATATTCAAGATTAACTCCCTCAGTGGCTTAATTTCAGGTAAAAATTGACAGCATCCTCTACAGCAATAAGATCTGTGGTTATAACAGTCAATATTTCTTTCCCAGTTATCAGGTTTTTTGTGAGGTGGAAAACACTGAATAAGAAAGTAAACTTATCACCACCATGTTTTAACAGATAAGTGTTAATGATTTTTTATGACTGGTTGTTTAGGAAAAAACCCCATAGAACATAATTATCATTAAAAACAGCAATAAAAAAATGCAAGTATTTAAAAGTTGTCTTTTTTGAAGTTCTAGAACAGAAACAAAGATTATAACAAAAAACAGTGTATGTCTAATGTATGAGAATAATCTACTACTTAAATACAGCTGTTGAATTTTCTACTGTTTATTAACAGAAAAAAGCCTTAAATCCATTCAAAAACTGCAGGATGGTAGACAGCAAATATCAAAGTTTTGCCATAAGAAAAAATTTAAATTCTTTGACAGATGGAAGAAGGGTCCCCACTATTTCAAATGCAAAAAAATCCCAAACTCCCAAACCCCAGCCAGGTTTTTACTGCCATTTAAGCAATTCCAGTGGATAGCAACTTGATGAATGCCCAACAACATATACTTAACTAATTAACTTTACAGCAGTGCTGGTGGCTGTGGAGGTTTGTAAAGTGCATAGGACAAGAACCTCTGTGCTTCCCATCACTTCCATAGCCGGATGCACATCCACACTGACTTCAGTATATGTTTAATCTTATATTTGACAGATGTCAAGGACTGTCACACAACTATTCCATGGTGAATGATTACTACATACATATAATGACCCATTATTTGGTATCTAAGTGGACAGTGGTCAGAAGACATCAAGGGGTTATGTGGAATGCATGAAGACAGCAGCACAGAACATCTCTGTGGTATTTCTGTTTTGACAGGAAATAGTTGGAGTCATAAACTCACATTTGTCTAGTGTAATCACTCATGGACTTTGATAGTGCCTGCTGACTAGTTAACTCTCTGCCCATACCAAGCAAGCCATTCCCAAGCTTAAGATGGTAGAATATTTCCCTTACTCTCCCCGTTGCCTTATAAATGTTCTCAAAGCAGCTGATCCTGTTAAGTATTAAGGCCTTTTCCTACTTTAGTCTCCAAAATGCACAATGGGAGTCATATCTAAAGAGGCTATGGAAACAAGTACCTGTATGTGCCTCTGGCACGAATGACAAGACAGACAGGCTTGTTGTTTTTTTGGTTTGGTGGTTTTTTGTTTTTTTTTTTGGTTTTTTTTTTTTGGTTTTTTTTTTTAAGCCTTGGAAAGAGGTGGTCTCACTCTAAGATAACTCTTGAAATAATTCCAGCGACCCTTTGGAAACCAGGTATGTCATAGCTGTTGTTAGAAAGAGAACTCCTCCTGATTTACTGAGAGTAGCTAATGTACCAAAACTAAAAGCCAAGTGTGAAAAACAGAGTGAAAGTGAAAACATATACAAGGCAAGAAAATCTTGAATAAAGAACTGCTTTGTTATATTCTTCCTTAGATTCAACTCTAACCAGCCAAAATCTCATTGCAACTGAACTAACACACTGGTGGGGGTTTTTTGTTGTTGTTGGTTTTGTTTGTTTGTTTGTTTTTTAACCAGACAAGTTACATCCTTTGTGATTAACATACCACAATTTAAAACAGAACTGCCTTTACCTTTAACAAAAATGATTAGCGTATTTATTTGGAAAAGGGCTAACCTTACACCCACTTCCACAGGCATAAGACCTTTAATAGTCTTAGTACTTTTAGTATTTCAAACAGCTTCAGTAAAAACACATTTTGTGTGTTCTATATTTAATAAAATCCTGCTCAACAGCTGGTCAATTCATTAGTTACAGAAGATAACATTACCATGTCTATGTCATCACAACAACAACAAAAAAAACACCTCACGTTATTTAGAATAATATCAGGAAAGTATCCCAGTGCTAAAATGATCTGTACATCAGAGACGTAAACTACACATTTCTCAGCATTTTAAGCCTCTACTCTTTTTTTTTTATTATTTTATTTTAATGCTTTAAATAGAGTATAAACAGTCAATCTTCATCTGAACAGATTTTGGTGACACACATCAATGTATTCCTCTTCACTTTTTAAAAAGGAGAATTAATCATCTACAAAAGACTAAGCAAAGTCTCTTAGTAAGTATGTACATATACAAAGCTTGATGCTCTCTGTCCAATCTGAACCTATACAAGAAATGGTACTTAGGGTAATTTTGGAACAGCACTATCCTCAGGATAGTCAGGATTCATCAGCTGAATGCACTGTTCATCACTAGCTCCACAGTTATAAAACCTTAACTGTCTGTAGTCAAAGGAGCAGCTGTTGCACCCATAAAAGTAGCAGCAGATTGAGTAGTATTCAATTATTAGCTTTTTATGAACTCAAGCATAAGAAAACTTATACAGCATGACTAGTAAGCAATGTATATGCATTTTTGTACCTAGTGGCTCAGTAAAAATAGTATTGCCACTGCTAGGAACAGGCCTCAGGCCTTACTCCAACTGCATTTCTAAGCCAAACGCGTGAGGTCCAAATTCTGGCCTCTCATGCTTGTGAAATTTTTAGGGGAACTTGTTGCATGAGCTAGAGCTGGGTACCAGGTGCCTCTTGTTATGGTGTACAGCTTAGATATGAGATAAGAATAAAGTCTTGAAACTACAGGCACAAGCTGAAAGCAGATGCCCCAGAACTGTAAGCAACTCCGTGATGGTCAATTATTAGTCACTGATGAAGTGCAACCTTGAGTTTTGGGAAAAAAACCCCACTGCTTTTCTTTCCATAGAGAAAAAGCTGAAAAGGAGGAATAAAACTGCTAAGCAACAAGAAAAGGCACCTGTGACAGCCTCGAACATCTCACCATCAAGGACCTTAGCTATCAGTGCTAAATACATGCCACCAGCTCCGTGTGCTCACAATTAATTTAAAATGAGATTGTTACAGACTAATTGCTTTGAACATGCAGTAGTAATGACTAGGAATGAGTAAGAACTAGCCATTAGCAATGTGTGTTGTTAATGAGTATCAATGAATTGTCAATGAATATCAATCTAGCGAAGTTTTGTTATAAAGTTTAAAGCTGGTTTAAA